GAAACCTTGTTAAATCTGCCATATAAAATGGCAGAAGGCATAGCATTACACCTGGCCAGGGTAAACGTTCTACGTTGTTGCGGGACCTGCAGAGAGGATAAATATGAGGCCATCTTCCCTGTAGTTAGGGGGATCTCAAAGTTCAAGGGGGAGCAGGTTTTATTAGCTAGGCTGTATAATCTCTGGCGCTCAGTATCTAACATCCTGATTTTAATCTGATGAAATGCAGCAGCAAAGGGCAACATAGACAGGGATTCTAAAGAAAGGGCCAATACTTTGATTTTTTCCCCTCAGTGTGTGCTGACCAGTTTGAGACACTGAGCCCCGAGAGCATGTGATATATAAGGCTCCCATGTTCGAAAGTTTAGTGTCTGGTAATTAAAAAAACAACCACTTATTCCTTCATAGAAAAAAATACAAAGGTCAATCAGATTTCACACAGCAGTCTGCTCCAGACTCTCAGTCTATATCCCTTTAACAGTCTTGTATTCTCAAGAGCAGTCTGCTCCAAATTCAATCAATCTGTGTCTCTCTTTCCAACACTTTTCCCGGATATTTAAGTGTTTCAGACCTCTGATCTTTCCTCAGGAACAAATCCTATATAGGAATCTTACATTCAGCCTGGTATTCAAGTTGACACATTCATTGATTTACTTTTTCTGTTAATCTATTAATCTGTTTGGGCAAGGTCTCCTCACTTATTTCCAAGCATACTGATGCTGCTGCCAAAGTCAAATTCACCCGGACTATGCCTCACTACACAAATGGACCCAGACTATGGACCCAGACGATGCCATGCTACATATCCTTCCCGTTTTAGTATATGTGGTTCTGAACTATCTGAACATATTCCACAAGAATTATACTTTGGTGTGATGGTTGACGTGTTTGCACGTAAAGTACAAGTGATTTTACAAACGACGCTATGGCAGGGGAGACCGTTCATCAAGCCTACCGATGCTTCGCAGACCGGGTCGCATCCGTTTTGGTTAAGGGCTGCACATCTTTGAGATACAATTTATTCTGATACATTTTTTCCAACTGGGCCATCGTCTCCATGTGAGCGTTCTTCAGTTCTTCCAGTTTCAAGTAATATTCCTGATTCGAGAGGTGCATTTTGGAAGGGTCTAGGCAGTCCTCACAGTCGTCAGACATGGTCGAACCCTGCTTCCTCTCGGGACTCGAATTCAAATCCAGGATATCCTAAAACAGAAAAAAATCAATTTTTATTGTCCGATGAGCAAGTGGCGAAGCTGCCTTCTACTGAAACAGACCGTCAGTCCGTCAAGGTCGGCATTGCCTACTCAGACTGGCAGCCGCTCTCCGGGGTCTTGGGTAGATGTCTTTCGCATCACCTGCCACCTTGGTCCTTCCAACTGGAAATGTCGGGGATTGAACCTGGGACCTTCTCCATGCCAAGCAGAGGCTCTCCCACTGAGCCACAGCCCCTCCCTGCAATTGACCGAAATGTTAGCTGTCTAGATGGGCAAAGGCCCCAACTACATGCCGTTCAGGGGCAGATTCACCACGAAGCAGACTAAGCACGTGCTTCGGGCACCAGGGCCAAAGGGGGCACCACAAAGTTGGGGAAAGGGTGAAAAGCTTAGTTTGTACAGCATATTGTGTTATCCTATGAATAAATTTTTGTATTGCTGCAACCTGCATTGTATATCTGGTCAGACAGGTCAACCACTAAAATGGACGGGGTCAGCGTGGAAAGGGGGGGGGGGCACCAAGATTGGTCAGTGTTTCGGGCACCAGGGACCTTTAATCCGCCCCTGATGCCGTTATTCTTGGGCTGAAGCTCCTCACCTGTAATAACGGTCTACCTGACAAGTAAGTCCTTTTTGGGTTGCAGGTGGCACACACGTTCCTGCGATTCTGCATCGTTACGTCAGGGCATCTCCTAGAGCGTACACGCCTGCCGCTCAGCTCTGCAACCTGCAAAAAAACGGATTGGGCCGTGTTCAGTGCATCTGATATGGGACCATCAAGAGGCCTGCTAGCGATGCCAAGGAACGCTTTACCCATAGCAGTGCTCCCCAACGTGGTGCCCACCAGATGCTTTTAAAAGTGGGTGGGGCTTTTGCCCGGCAGGGTTTCGGACTGGCTGTGCAGATTACAAGGCATCTGGTCCAACAGAGCTTCTGCCTGAAATGTTGAAGAGTTAATATGAGAGCTGCAGATAACCTATCTCCCTGACATTTTGTGGCTGGCTCCGCCTCCTGCAGCAGCCATTTCGTGACTGTGCCCGTCGCCCTGTCTCAGAATTCCCATGTTCAAAAACGTTTGGGACCCCTAACTTACTCTATAGATCAAGGCTATTTTGGGGTGAGGCCGGGACCGTAGCCACGGTCGGGGGCACATGAAGGTGATGCCCCCCACAAATATGCCGGGGGAGCGCAGGAAGGGAGGGAGTCAGCAGGGGGAAGAGGGGGGGGCGGCCTCACCAGGTCTTCCTGCTTCCAGAGCTGGCTTTGCAAACTTTGAGAAGTCAGATGCGAAACCGGGAACACCCTGTGAGGTCGTGCCTCTCCCTCCCCTCCGATGGGAGCCTGAGCCGTTGGGGGGCTTGGGAGCTGCTGGTAAGTTAACCTCCATCCTCCTGCCAACAGGTCCAACTTGCCCCCCAAGCAAAAAAAATTCTGGCTACAGGGCTGGGTGAGGCCCTTATGGTAGCAAGGACAACCACGGATGCCGTAACCCAGGGGTGTCGAACTGATTTGTTATGAGGGCCGGATCCGACATAAATGAGACCTTGTCGGGCCGGGCCACGTGTGTCATAAAACATAATGCCAGGTAGCGGAGATATAAACTTTAGAAAGGACACAAACACAAAGGGGTTTTTTTTTACTTAAAATAAAAACATGCTTAAAACCAGGGGTCATTTTCTGCAGGAGCGCACAGGAGCAGAGCTCCGGCAGTAAAGAGCCCAGGGGGCGGGCACATGCAACGAGCCCCACCCCCTGCTCCCAGTCAGAGCAAGAAGCAGCCAGGTAAGCTGCAGAGC